AGGGAGAAGCAGACTCCCCGCCGAGCAGGGAGCCCGATGCGGGACTCGATCCCGGGACTCCAGGATCATGACCTGAGCCGAAGGCAGTTGCTCAACCAACTGAGCCACCCAGGCGCCCCGCTGGTTTAGAAGTTTTTATATCTAGATAATCTACTTCCATCCAGAAACTGTGAAGAGGGTTTGATGAAGTAGGTACTTGTACTACATTGTTCTTTCCTATTTCCCCCATCTATAAAGCAATCCTATTGAAGGTATATTTCTCAGAGTAAATGGCTTCTGTTGAAAAACACTTCAGTTGGAATTACACTAAAATGTATCTTTGAGAAAGTAAAACAAAACCATAAAATCTTCTTTTTTGTATTGCAGTTGGGTAACAAATCCAACTTCTGGTTTCAGATTTGTTACTTTTCAATAGACCAAAGTTTTATTCATCAGCATACTTCTGAGTTATGTTTCACATTTCCTTTTCAGCTAAATGCTTCTATTCATGAACGGTCCACAGATCCTCAAGGGGGACAATAAATGTTTATTGTCCTGTGGGTCCAATTCATTTGACCATCTCATAGATACATCACGTTCTGGTACGGGATACCTAGCTTATGTTTTTGCTCTTAAAGCACTTCCCAGAAAGTGTTCCTATGGGCAAAATGGGAGTAGGAATAAAGGTAAAGCCACCGTCTCCAAAACATTAGGATCCACTTCAGTGATTCAGGGCTGGGTGGGGTAAGGATGCCTCTCAGAAGAAGGCACAATGAAGGTAAGGCGCAGTTATGTTTCAGTTAACTAAATTAAGAAACTACTTAGAAATTACTGTGTTGCATAGCAACAGGTTTGGCTAAAGAATGTAAATGTGCTAAAAATTACTCATTACTACAATAGTGGTGAATATCAGAGCTAGAGAATACACTTACCTACCCTTTTTTATTTCAGAGTCCAAGTACATAATAAAAAAATCACTTTGAGCTTTTATCCTAACACATGGAGAATTCAAACCACACCAGAATTCTTGCATTAAAATATATTGGATTAGTGATAACTGGACTGGTTGAGCATATTTGGGAGGATAGTGGCTTTTTGTTCCAAAAATTCATGTAATGCATTTCAATATGTCATAAGCAACGTCTACCACCCACAGCTGATACTTCAAGTTACAGAAGCTTAGGAAAGCACAGATCATGAGGAGGCTTGAGATTTGATGAAGATTTAATGAGATTCAATGAATAGAAACTCACAATATCATATTGATGCTTCCGGCAGAGGTAGAATTTGGACTTGAATTTCTGTGTTAAGCCCTGCTTTACAAAAACATGGGCTGTTCAATAACAAATTCAGTCCCAGATCTTTCTGGTATGGTTTTGTTTTGTTTGGAACTTAAAGGTCAGAGAGCTGTTAGTTATCTGTGTGTTACAACACTGAAGCAGGCATAGATGCAAAAGATACAGTGACTCCATTTCTTCCCTCATCATAGGCAAAGTCTGGAATCAGGAAGGAGAGCTCCCTTCATAACAAATTAAACATTTCATTGGCAGAAAAGTTTCCTATTTCCAAACAATCCTAAATTTGTATGTTTCCCAAACCCTCGTTAAACCCAAAGACTATTCTCTGTTTCTAAGCCAAGATAATTTTAACATTCATCCATAATATCTCTTTAAGGCTTCTTACTGCTTCCTTGTGACCCTACTCCCAGAAACTCACCCCATTCCCCCAAAGATCTACTTAATTAGCTAGACCAGCATTGAGGGGAACTAGCAGAAACAACTCAAGTTTTAATATAATTTGGCTCCGATTCTGGATCCTAACCTCATGTGCTCTTTTTTTAAGCCACCTACTGGCCTTGCCTACTTGGTCATCCAATGCTTCCTTTAAAACTCCAAAGGTTGGGGATCGGTTTTCTACTAAATTTTCCCATAGACCTCCCAGCCACAAGTATGCCATCTGTCCTGACATGTACCATTTCAACATTAACAGCTCCATTACTATCATACCCAAGCTTTAAAAGTTTATTTTTGTCCATCAATCCTATCATTTAATAAAGAGAAGTGAGGGTACTTGCTAAAGGGAGGGTTCCCTACTCATCCCTGCAGGAGAACACAGTCTGGACTCCTAGGCATTGGTTGCTTGCTTTGTTTTTTGTTTTTTTTTTTTCTGTTGAGATCAACCTGGGGGCGGGGGGAGGAAGTTTGTCACTGATGGGCATATACATGTTTTATTCTTAGCTTTTTGCTTTTCTCTATATGGTTTTACATTCATTTTTCAAGTATTCATTTATTCAGTATTCATTTATTTTCTTTGTTTTATATGTATGACTCAATTTTGACATTACTATTTTTGTACAAACAGCTATTGAAATCCTGCCATGCAGTGTCCCAAACACAAGGTAGGCCCGAAACTCTGATAAGCAAGACATTGCTTTCCTTCTCAGCTCTGTTAGTATGCTTGGTGCACTCTCCATTTATGATTCACATCTGGTCATAACTAATTAGTATCTATCTCAAGGGTTTGGATTTGAAAGCTTGATTATTTTATGCTTGGATTTCTGAGGTAATATTCAAACAGAAATGCCCAAAATCTTTAGAGAATTATTTCCGAATTACTATTATGAGTCTTAGCCAACAGTTCCTACAGCAGACCTGGAAAACTCAAGTCATGCTAATGAAGATATACCCAGGCATCAAGAACAGTGATAAATGACTGTCATTTGGACTGACCACAGCTAAGACTGGGTCACAAAGTCAGCTCTTTCACAAGCATTGATAGGACTGCAATTTATTGTTAAAGCACCCTACTAAAAGTTCACTGGTGCTTTTCAATGACAGAGTTATGGTCTGCGTGCAGAAACATTATACAGTGTCAATATACAGTGACTCCTGTCATGCTTTCTGCTAGATCTGGTCTGCCAAGGACCCTAATCACCTCTCGTAAGTAAGGTGACCATATAATTTATTATCTGAACCAGGATCATTTTGAGAGCGAAAGGGGATGATGTTCATACTCGCCAGGACTATGGGCATAAACTGGAACTGTCCCCGGCAAATGGCAATGAATGGTCACCCTGCTCATCTGAGAACCTCGCTCTAATAGCATATGTTCAATATGGTCTTTAAATGCTAAGTGGGGAGAAGCATAGGGCATCTTTTATTGCTATTTATGGAACATAAAAGTATTTAATTTCTGGAGCTGATACTGTTTCACTGTCATCTCTTATAAATACCGTTTGTGTCATAGTTTCATGTTTGTATATTTTCCTCCATTTCTCATTTCTCTCTGAGTATTAGTATATTTCAGGCATCGAAAACTATCCAGGTAGAGGGAACCATCCATCCCATATTTGAGCAGAAAGATAAAATTCTTAGTTATTACACCTATCTTCGCCAAAAGGGAATTTAAAGCCACAATATAAAAATAAGAGAATTACTGTATGTCCACGGGTCAAACTAGTTTTGGGGACATCTAGATGCTCTTCGGATTTGACCCAACCCCCCTACTGACCTTCCATTGAGTTGGAATACCTAAGCAGACACGAGGAGTAATATTAGAGCACTTCAGAATCCTCCTCTCAGTATTATCTTTATATGTCCACATTTCCATTCTTAAATGGCCTTTATTTCAAAGTGGTAGGTCACAAAAAGAGGAAAGGGATGCTTTATTTTTCCTTCAAAATCTACCTCCCAAACCACCTGGTTGTCTTAGTGACAGTCTTGAGCCATGGTGAACTCAATTTCATGAAGCCTATAAAAAAAAAAGTGAGAGCTGGTAGGGAGAATTTTTGGACAATAGGATTCTAGGAACCCTACATATTCCTGTAATGTTCTATTTGCAAGGTGCTCCAGCCAAACCAACGTGATGCGCTCCTACCTAAACTTCTCCATCAGTCAGATTCTTAGGGAATTAATTAAACTTCACGCTATTGGGGGGAAAATATTGTACCTAAGCAACACTTTGGCTAAAAGTTCCAATTACAGTCAAGGCAAAATGTCCATCTGTAGAAACCAAATGGTTTGACGTGACATAGTCTAAATATTGAGCGACTGGCTTAGCCTCTTTTCAAATGGTTTTCCTGGCACGCTGTAGAACTAGTCCTTCACAGCCTTTAATGTGCATAAAAAATGTCTTTGGGATCTTGTGAAAATGCACATTCTGATCCCATAGGTCTGGGGTAGAGTCCAAGATTGTGCATTTCTCACAAGGTCCCAGGCAGTGCTGATGCTGATGGTCCCTGGACCTCACTTTGCAGAGCAAGGATAGAGTGACAGCATCAGATTTATGCGCGGAGAGAGTCTGCGGTGGCTACATGCTTTTAGGAGAGGATTTCAACATTGTAAGGCCTCGTTTCTAATGTTGCAGGCGAAGGAGATGCAGCAGATGGGGAAGTTGGAAGCCGAGATGGACCGCAGACCAGCAACAGTAGTGTGAATCTCCAAAACGCAAACTGAGGCAGCAAAACCTCCCAGCATCAAGAGATAACCCCCAACCTTCCCAAGCCAGATGTCATGCAAGACGGCTGTTGCCTTTTGGGTTTCCTTTATGTACAGACAAGATGTTACACCTGAACCCACAGCGACTTACATATGTCTGTGTAACATTTTGAGTATTGGGTTTCTTTGGCCAACCAAAAGTAGCTCCGAATCCACCAAAATTACTATCCCAGTGAGGCAGAGTTTAACCTTGATATTACAACTTAAACATGTTTGCTATAAAATACCATCACAAGTGAATGAACTTGGTGTAAACAACTCCGCTCTGTGATGCATTTAGGACATGTTTGAGCTATAGCAAAAAGTGCATTAGTGATTCAATAGCAAGTGCATGCACTAGGAAAAATAACAAAACTCTGTCTACAAATTCATCAGCAGAAGTGGCAATCTGCTAGACAAATAACTTTGCAGGATTTTTCTACATCTAAGTTACCTCATCAGTAAGTGCCATGTCTCTGCCATGCCATAAGAAGCTAATTTCCTGTAAAATTGTGGAAATTATTAGAGTAAAAAAAAAAATTAGAACAGTGTACCTGTGCCAAAACTCATCAGTGCTCAAGGGAGAACTTTGTTAGGCACACGTAAGACAGTTTACATCTGATATTGCTTTATAGGAATTGCTTCTGCCGATTCCAGACATTCTAATACACTATTACACCATAAAGATTGTGAAGTGGTTATTGGCAAACGTTTGTAAATGTGACCATGTATAAAGTATTTATACTCCTAATTCACACTGTTATAGAGCAAAATCATCTAAGTATTGCCACATGACAAGATTAGTCAACAGGAATACTAGAACTATGTTTGCATGATACACAAGCACCCATTAAGACTAATCCGTACACATACAGTTAATCTAATGCCAAATAAACACTGGCTAAATAAATGTATGGCACAGAATATAATTTGACTATCAAGACTTTAAGCATAATGAAAAAGTCTATATATATGTGTATATGAATTATGTGGGCATTCTTGATACTTCAAGTTCTAGTTTCAAAAAAAATACATAACTAATTTAATTTTACACAAAAATATTTATGCAGATTTTCAGAATTTCATATCAGGAAATAACCTTTTTACGTCTGTTCAATATCAAAACAATTTGCTACAGTGTTTATCTGCATGGTCTTTAAGCCCGCTGTAGTTGTGTTGCAGACAGTGCATGAAAAAGTATTCTGCGGGGAACCGAGCCATGCCGCCAAAGCCACAAAGAGCGCATGGAAACGGTAGTCTAGAGCTAATCAGATGACTGATTTTAGGACACAAAACACCAACTGAATTGTATATGCTTGTACAAATTGATTCTGTGTGTTCCTCTGAACAAAGCAGAGAAAATTGTTACCATCAATATTGAAATTAAACTTCCAACTTCTCTAATAAAAAATTAAAACACATTTAACACCTGTCCATGTGTATGCGTTCTAGCAGACTTTTTGCCTTCTTCATAAATGATCTCATTATTTCCAGAGGAGGCTTCTTCATGCACCAATACATTTTCCCCCAAAATGACACAAAACAGGCTGATTCTGGTTGACTCCCAAAGGTAATATATTTTTTTCTCCTCATATTTATCATTTGAACTGGTTTCTGTGAAATTTCTCTAGTTCCCTATTTGCTTATCTGTAAGACAACGGGCTTAGACTATGTATCTTTCAGCACTAACATCCCATGGAAAACTATGGCCATTTTTTTTTTTTTAAGATTTTATTTATTTGACTGAAAGAGACACAGAGAGGGAACACAAGTAGAGGGAGTGGGAGAGGGAGAAGCAGGCTTCCTGCTGAGCAGGGAGCCTGATGCGGGACTCGATCCCAGGACCCTGGGATCATGACCTGAGCCGAAGGCAGACGCTTAATGACTGAGCCACCCAGGTGCCCAAAAACTATGGCTATTAAAATAGCACCACATTGGGGTGCCCACGTGGCTCAATCGGTCAAGCATCTCACTCTTGGTTTTTGCTCAGGTCATGATCTCAGGGTCAGAAGATCGAGCCCTACTTTGGGCTCCACGCTCAGTCTTGGGTCTGCTTGAGATTCTCTCTCTCCCTCAGCCCTTCCCCCAACTCAACTCACTCACTCTCTCTCTAAAAATAAAATCTTTAAAAAAAACTTTTTCTTAAATAGTACCACATTGGGATGGCCCATTCTCAAGAATTCCAAATGGCTCATCAAATCAAAGGACTTCTAACAAGAGCTCAGCTCAACATTCTGTGGCACTTCACTGAATTCAATTGCCTCCTTCTTCCTTTGCTTCTGAGAGGTACTCCCAGTTTTCCCATTGTTCTGATCTGATCTCTGCCTTTTCATCCTTTTATACCACCATAAATATTTCTATTTTCCAGTACTATATCCAGAGCCAGTTTTTTCTTTAACCCAGACTACTTCCAGTATTTAAGAAATCCTACCCCCTCCAAAAGATTCCACTGTAGTGGGATTAAAATGTACACACAGCTCAGATGTTCAACAAAATGATGTTTTACTTTCAATTATAAGTTCAGATTGCACTCAAATTCTGCATTCTTGCTCATGAAGGAAACAAAAGCTTGCCAATTAAAATAATTCAGTCTTTTCCAGCTTAAAAAAAAATGTTATTTCCAAGGCATTTTCAGTTACTTCAAAGTCAAATCCCCCCTTAGAGTCCCAGCCCCATTCAGGTCTCCTTGCTTCTTTCTCCAGATGGCAGTGGGGAGGAGTATCTGGTCTCCCCACTGCTGGACAGTCCTAATTGCCCTGAGCTACAGCCCTGCAAATTGGGTCCTTCCATCCCAGTGGCTCAAGGTCTTTGCTCAGTCAAGTGTTCACCCTGGACTCAGTTTATGTTAGCATTCTTCTGGGAGATGCAGGAACTTCTGGATCTTTGTGGGCTGTGGGAGAGCTAGAAGTGCTAACTCCAGTCCATTCATTTAAGTACCTCCTTTGCCCATTTGTCAGCTACTAGCGCCATGTTCCAACGTCATGAGGTTTCTCCAGGAGGCTTGCAGTTTGTTAGAGCAATGCCCCAAGAAGCAAAAAGCAAGTCTGTTTTATATCAGGTCCCAGGCCTATCTGGGTTTATACTACATCTTGCTTCTCGCACCCAGGAGCACTTTCTGTTCAACCTGGGAGTCAGGTTGAGTCTCAATTCTTTCTCCTCAGCCCAGAAAGGTTAGGGAACTGCCTATTCCTGCCTGACTGGAATGCCCATACAAGACTGTATTCCTCCTTCCTAAGCAGATTATTCTTCCCTTTTGAGAGGATAAAAAGTTTCATGGGGGGGGAAAGGTTGCCAAAATTGGGGAACCCATTGGGAAGTATCATAGTTCATCAGATCTAAGACACCATTGATTATAACATCACCATCATTTTATATACCACAAAGAATGAAAACAGGCTGCCAATTAAACAAGGACACATCACCCTGTGATTATAAGACACCTCAATTCCAGAGATGTTAAAATGTGAAAATATATGTTTCTTGGAATCCATGAAATAGTATTTCAAAAATATTGTAAAAGCTAATCAAATCCCAAGACTTGAGGGTTGATGGGAGGTGGGGGAAGAAGGCAAGTATTAAAGACAGGATACAAGAGAAATATTATATCAGAAAACCTAAAGCAAAGAACACTTCTGCAATTGGGACTGTAATTTAGTAGTGAGCTTCCTTCAAAAGCAATTCAAAAAAAAAGAAATTGGATTTCCAGGGAAGACGGTAGAGTAGAAAGATCCTAAGCTTACCTCGTCCCATGGATACAACTAGATAACACCCACATTAGTGTAAATAACCCAGAAAATGGCCCAAAGGTTGGCAGAAGAGACTATTCACAGCTAAATGCAGAGAAGAGTCCCCATCAAAGAGGGTGGGAAGAGCAGAAGTGCAGTCGGGAGCTAAATAGACCCCCATGGGACAGTCCATAAGAGGGAGGGATATCACAGGTGTAGAGAGGCAGACCCTATTACCCAGGTATGGGAGCCCTCAGAGAAGACAAATCCCCATAACATTTAACTTTTAAAATCAGAGGGGCCTAATGTCATGAGTTCTTATAATCAGTGGGGCTTAACACCTGGAACTTTAAAAATCAGAGGGCTCTGCTTTGGGAGACCCTGGAGGGTGAGAGGAAACTGAATTCCCACCATTAAAGAGACAGCACAGCCAATTGCCTGGCTGAGATACAGCATAGAAGCAGCAATTTGAAAAACAGAGTATAAGAGAAGGAGATTTGCTTACTAATCTCAGAGCATGTGCCTAAGGAGCAGGAATCTATAGGAGACTTATCTAGGATAAAAGGAGCTGTCAGGCACCATCTCCCTCCCCCACTTTCCCCCACCCCCTGCATAAACACAAGGCCACCTGCAGGAAGCAGCGCAGTACCAACACTCTATCTAGCTTGCTAACAGTGAGACTCACCCTCATCATCTCCTGCAGACAGGCCCCCTCCAGCCAGATCTCCGCCCATAGGAGACCCCGAAAAAAAACTTGCTAACATCATGCACCCCACCCCACATTCTCTTGCAGACCCACCCCCTCCCATACACCCTTGGCCAGAGCCCATCCAAAGTGGTGCCACAAGCACAGCAGTGTGCAAGCACATCCAACAGGGGCCAGCACCACTCTGAAGTGACTCTTGTGCCAGGAGAGGGGAAGATAACCACACATACCAGCAAGGGACTGGGGGCAGGCATCTGGTCTGACTGGAGGCCCCACCTGTCAACAAAAGCTTCTCAGGGGACAACACAAAGAAAGTGCCCAGCAGTTCAGATCTACCATAGCTCTGGCAAATGCTTGGTCGGACTCAATTCAAGTCCAAGGCAGCCCCAGATGGGCCCACTAACAACACAGGGAATAAACCCTGCCCAAAACAGGCAATGAGAGCCACTGCAAATGACCAGACTGAAGGCAAAGGTGGCTCAGCCACAACAGTAGGGTACACACAACACCCATAAGAGACACACCCGAAGTGCTAGGTTCTGGTAAACAGGACATTGCACTGCAGGGCACCATGGAACCTCTTCTTCGTCAGGCCACTACTCTCAAAAGCAAGAGACATAATTGACTTTCCTAACACATAGAAAGAGACAGAGAGCTGGACAAATTGAGGACACAGAGTAAAGTCACACCAAAAGAACTAAACAAAACAGAGATAAGTAATATGGTTGGTAGATAATTTAAAGCAGTGGTCATAAAGATACTCATGGGACTTGAAAAAAACAGTGGAGGACCTCAGTGAGACTCCCAACAAAGAGAAAGGAAACATAAAAGAAGAATCAATCCGAGAGGGCGCCTGGGTGGCTCAGTTGGTTAAGCGACTGCCTTCAGCTCAGGTCATGATCCCAGGGTCCTGGGATTGAGTCCCACATCGGGCTCCCTGCTCTGCGGGAAGCCTGCTTCTCCCTCTCCCACTCCCCCTGCTTGTGTTCCCTCTCTCGTTGTGTCTCTCTCTGTCAAATAAATAAAATCTTTAAAAAAAAAAATCAGTCCGAGATGAAGAACTTAATAACTGAAATTAAAAATTCACTAGAGGGAATGGATAGTAGATTAGAGGATAGAGAACAGATTACCAACTTGAGGACAGAGTAATGGAATGCAATTAAGTTGTACAGGGGAAAGAGAAAAAATACTGTACTCAGTGACAGCATCAAGTGTAATAACATTTGTATTATAAGAATTCCACAAGAAGAGAGAGAAAAGGGGGCAGAAAATTTATTTGAAGAAATAACACCTGAAAACTTCACTAATCTGGGGAAGGAAACAGAAATCCAGATCCAGGAGGCACAGAAAGTCCCCAACAAAATCAATCCAAGCAGGTCCACACCAAGACACAGAGTAATTAAAATGGCCAAAATTAGGGATAAAGAGAATTTCAAAAGCAACAAGAGAAAAGAAAAGATTACATACAAGAAAAGGAGGAAGAGGAGGAGGGGGAGGAAGGGGAGGAGAAGGAGGAGAAGAAGCTTCCAAGTGCATTCTATGAGGCCAGCATTACCCTGATACCAAAACCAGATAAAGACACCACCAAAAAAGAGAGAGAGAAATAAGAAATACAGGCCAACATCTCTGATGAATGTAGATGCAGAAATCCTCAACAAAATATTAGCAAACCAAATCCAACAATACATTAAAAAAATCATTCATCACCATCAAGTGAAATTTATTCCTGTGATGCAAGGGTCATTCAATATTCACAAATCAATCAACATGATACATCACAGCAATAAGAGAAAGGGTAAAAAGCGTATTATCATTTCAATAGATGCACCAAAAGCATTTAACAAAGTACATCATCCACTCATGATAAAAACCATCAACAAAGTAGGTTTGGAGGGAAATATCTCAACACAGTAAAAGCCATATATGAAAAAACCCACAGCTAGCATAATTCTCAATGGTGAAAACCTGGGAGCTTTCCCCCTAAAATCAGGAATA